ATTGCAGCAACCAAAGTCTGGAAGGGAACAACAAAAACCGAAGGTTAAGATCCTGTCATTTCGGAATATTCGATTGATGAATCGTTATGTTCGGATGAGAGTTAAGCAACATGTGAGCAGTTGCACCCATGCCGTTAATGATACTATGCAACCACACCGGTTCGTTAGTTAGTCCCATCCCCGCTCTTCTTCTTTTCAACCAGTTTCGCGATTGTAAAACGTTCCAACTGGAATTTTTAATACACATCAGTGAGTGATGAAAAACAGACAAGGTGGCCCCCTCAGTCACGAAGACCTGCTGTTCAGTAATAGAAACCGGCAACATAATCCCAGGGACTTGGACTGGCGAATCACATAAGACCTCATCAGGTGAGGTGTGGCATAGAACCGGGCGAAAACAAAGCTGCCTACCATCGAATTTGGGGTGGCGGTGGTGAGACTCGAATCTCGGACAACAGGACCCAAAGCACCCTGGTGACAGCGAATATACCACCGAACCACCACCATCTGACATGCGTATTGTGTCATTTGTAAAAATTGAATTACAGTCAAAGTGCCGGAGTTGGATAACTTCGTCAGTGCAGACGGATGTGACGAGTATTAATTATGGGCACAAGAAGTGACAAGACATTCGTCTTGAAAATTGCGCTGAGTTGAGGATTCGCGCAAGAAGGCATCGTGCAGCGAAGTGGAATCTGATTTACGCATGCTGTGATTGCAATGCGGACAACTAATCATCAGGCTGAGCCTTGCGCAAGTTGAGGCTTCAGAGGACACTAACCTTATGGACCCGAGCGAAAATAGGTACAGGCTCTTAAAGGATCAGATCCTAAAGAAGACTGGTTCTTCCGAATGAACAAAGCTGACCCAGCTTCGAAATACGCTGACGCTAGACATCAAGAAGCCTTCGATACTTCTTCGTGAAATGCGTCAAATGGCCCGCCCATCCCTCATGCACGAATCACTTCTGCGACAGCTGTGGTTGCAACGAATACCAAGTGCCGTACAAGACATCATCGTTGCCATACCTATCCCAGATTCAGACCAGTTAGCGGCTGCGGCAGATGCTGAGCTGCACGCCACTTCACCAGTGGTTCCACCCTCCCCTTGTCCGAGCGATAGGGATAAGGAAATCGAAACGTTGCGCGCTACGATCGCCTAACTATCAACGACAGAACGCCGGAGTAGACAGCCGGTCACTCTCGATGTTGTGCAACGACAGATGACGGAACTCAGAGACATAGTCATGAGGGGTCGCAGCACGAGCCGTCCAACTTCACGCCACCGAAGATCGACGTCGGTCTGGGTTGCATTCATCTCTCAGGTTTGCGTCTGATATTATCAACATTCCAATTAAGGCTACTTGCTATAAAAAAGTAGGTAGAAAAAAGCCAAAATTCCACAATGTGAAACGTTTGACACCGACCCTCGAATTGCCGCGCAGGATATTACAATACTCCGTCAACGATATCCGGATAGAGTCCGAAAAATCTCAATACGACCCCGGTAAATTTTGTTTGTTTAAACCACACAGTTACACTGCATAGAAACAAGTTAATTTAACCTTTAGGGTTCACTGCAATTCGTCGGTACCTGGATCAACAACGGTGTACGTATACTCATGACATTCCCGTTTGAAGATGGTCAAGATCCACAATTAAAACGTGATGGACGGTCTGTTCACTTCAGGATCTTCAAAATGCAGTGCAAACTGCCCATAACTGATGGGGATAAGTGACAACCGGAATTCGACAACATGAACCGAGGCAATATGGAGATGCATACGTACCTGTAACGGGGGTGGGTCCATGAAATCGAACGACAGAAGATCATTGATACCCATCGCTTTCAACTGGAGCACGGTACTGGCCAGATTGGTACGTTGAATCTCGGGCACATTGGTAGCCAGCATCTCGTCCCGGTAAGCTCGTTCTGTATATAAACGAAAACATTTGCCCGGACCTGTACGGCCAGCCCGTCCGGCGCGTTGTTTGGCCTGAGCCTGGCAATGTAACGAGAGGAGAGGGAGGGATAGGGGTTAGTACAACAATACCATCACCAGTTGGGCATTTTCCAGTATTCCTTATCTAATGACTTTATACCGTATCTCTTAAACAAGCGCATTCGTTTATGTCAACCAGATCGTGGCATACCAATCATCCCTCGGGTAAAGCTAATTCAAACAAACGACAGTAGCCTACAAATGACAACGTGGTGGACAATGTGAGGCGATGATGACGTGTTGTTTCTCTCACCAGTCGAAGGAAATTCAACCAGTCGAATGCCAAACAGACCGATTTTATCGCATCTGTAAAAAGCGGACTAGGAAACTATCGGTTGTCGAAATAAGAGAGAAAAGACATCAGAATCAAGGTAAGCAAACATCTCATCTAACCCAAATCGTCGTAGTTGATTCTAGATACCGAAACAAGGGTATCAAAATCCCTGAGAAAGGACTTCGATAGTGTCATCTTTCCGACAGATAAAAACAATGCAATCCCAATGTTGAAAAAAAAGAATCTTCAGAAAAGAGGAAGTAACTCATCGAAGACAAGGGAACGTAGTGACCAGTAAACGGGAATTCCGTGAAGTAGCTGAAGAATCAACAAACCGAATCCTTTTACATTCTTGTGAAAAAACAAGAAACTCACACATGAAGAATATGAACAACTCAAACCCATAGAATATCCAATACCACGGTTCTATGGACTGCCAAAGTTGCACAACTCTCATAACGACCTATTGTCGCATCACCAACAGCATTCAGCTACGATCACGCTAAGTACCTCTTCCAGATACTGTGTTCATCTCTACCTGCAAACCACACTGATACACAAATTCCCAGGGCATTCGTGGAACAAATCGAAGGCCTGATAATCGAACAAGACGAAGTGGTAGTAGTCTCCTTCGACGTGACCTCACTGTTGATCAACATACCGAAACAAATGGCCGTCGTAAGCATTCGATACCCATTGGAAAAAGACTAAAACGTGTAATCAAGAACGGTGAAATCCGTGGACAAACTAGTGGAAATCGTACAGTTCTGTATGCAAATATAATTCCAATTTCACGGAAAGGTATACCAGCAAATACGAGGAGCTCTTATGGGTTTATCACTCTCCGGCCTGCTTACAGATGCGGTTATGCGGCAAACCATACCTATATTCCTCCCTCCCTCTTCATCACTTCTGTGCAAACCTATTCTAGTGAGAGAATACAAAATGCAGCATACCAACCACACCTGCTTGCGCTCCGACGTGTTCAGGTTGGCGAGTGCGTAGTTGCTTGTCCGTTTCAGCAAATTAGGCATGGGATTATTAGATCCTTTTAATTGTTCCAGGTATGCCCTGGAACCTTTTGCATCGCTGTGGTTTGCAGGTAGAAATGGACGCATTATCTGGAAGAGGTGCTTTGCTTGACCGTACCTGTGCTGCTGTACACGCGACAATAGGTTTTTATCTGTTGGAAATATGACACTATCGGAGTTTATTGTCCATATTTCGGTATCAGGGATCACCTGCAACGGTTTGAGTTGGAGATGTTGGCATACTTTCATCATGATGTCTTATCTTTTTTATTTGGACAACGGACAATTTCTCAGTCCGCCTTTCACAGATGCGATAAAATCGGTCTGTTGGGCATTGAACTGGTCAAGTTCAAGGCGAATTTATCCCGATATACTGTCAAACACAGGACGGTTTACCTCTAGCTTGTCAATCCTGTCGGTTCATCCCATGTGAACCAGTCTGCACAAGCACTGACAATCGAAAGATTTCAGTCGCGGGATTTCTTCTACCCCCAAATTCTAGGTTACGGAACCATAAAGCTGAAACGAACGAACGGCGACGAACCATACACGACCGTTCATCCTCAGTGAAACGTCTCGTCTGTTTACAAGGTATTTCAGTAGTGCGTAGGTCGCCTGAACGTTTTTTGTTACGTTACTGTCACTCGTCGTGCAACTGCCCAAGTAAGAGAAACAATTCACAATAACTAATTCTTGCCCACTAATCTCGAGAGCGTTATTAGGTGATACCCAATATCACAGTATCACTTCGACGAGTTCGTTTGCTGTGAGTTGCTATTTCGGAAAGTTGTGAATACATACATACAAACATATAAATATATATATGTAGTAGTATGTGAGGGATCCGATAAAATTTCCCTGGAAGCACACAACTGGTTTCGCGCTTCTTACCGCTCGTCAGGTATCCGTATCCGGTAATCGTTTGTCAGTTCATTCATATACTAGGGAAGTGTGTTTTTGTCGCAGTAATCTCAACAACAACAACAACACCGGGTAAATGTTTGGGCAGCTCTTTTAGAGACATTAAACTGGAGAATCAATACTACCATTCGGTGTGGGTCAGTCATATACTACTTATTATGAAAGATTCGTTAAAGACGCTCAAGTCACGCTTGTTGCGATTAGTAGCATCTAACGCATCTATACAACATTGAATTATGGCACTGGTTCTTCAATTTGAGCTCCAGTGCTTGCAAAATTTATACATATTACAATACAATACAATGGACTGGTTCTGAAAAAGCTGTCCATCCAACACCACTGGGTGTTGCAAACGAGGTTACTGTGACGAGAATTTACATATTTTTTTTCATACGGACTTACCTGTGAGATTGGCGTGACAATCAGTTGATCCATACCGGATTTGCTGCTGTACACCTTCTGTTTGACAAAACCCGGATCAATCACATAGTAGATTCCATCAATGGTCAATGAGGTTTCGGCAATATTGGTGGCAATCACTACTTTACGGGAACCGGGCGGAGCGGGATCGAAGATGCGTGATTGCATCTCAGACGGAAGAGCAGCGTACACGGGCAGAATGATCAATTCGGGAACGTCCGGACCAAGAGCTTTCATACGCTCGTAGAGCAACTCACAACCGGAATCGATTTCCTCCTGACCGGTCAGAAAGACCAATATATCGCCTATGGAAGTTGGGATAGACACACACACAGTAACACAGTCAAGATACACAAGAACAAAAAAAGATGGAAATGTGGTTCCGGGGGGGGGCAAATTTGAACATTTGAACACACAACGCCACAAACCAGATCGAGGTGAGCCATAAGGCACAAAGCTAGAGCACTTATTGTTATCGAGAGAGAGAAAAAAAACGTAATCAAAGGCTCATCTAATCCAGATGATTTTTGGGTCGCCTAAGTGAAGACAATTACAAGTGCGCATGGCAAAAGAGATTGACCACTTCGTGAGATAGTGATCAGCACGGATTTCGTTCGTGCTCCCCACAACGCTACTTCTTGCACGAAAGGAGTGAATGAAATCTGTCGACTATGGAGAGAGAGCTATTGGACATAGTTTACTTGAACTTCTCCAAAGCATTTGATGGAGTAAACCAACAAATTCTACCGCGATAATTCTACAATTACGGGGTTAGAGATTTAGTTCTCGATTGAGTCCAGGAGTTTCTCGGACAAAAAGGTGGCTGCCGTAGCGATCCCGCTAACTACCCTGTACCCCCCTTCTAGTGTTGTCCAAAGTCATGGAATCTATAGTAGCAGATTCCCTTATAGAACACCCATAGAAGCGCAACGTTCTATAGCCGAATCCATATGGACTCCGACAGAAGCGATCCTGCGCAACCAACTTGCTCATCGCATGAGAAGAATGACCAAAAGCGGTTGGTGACGGCGACGCGGTAAACTCTACTTATCTCGACTTCTCCAAAACGTTCCATCGGGTGAATCACGACATTTTACTGCGGAAACTCTATAATCACGCTATTCGGGGCATCGTGCTTGATTAGATCGAAGCATTTCTCCGAGATCGGACCGTATCGGTTCGTGTTTCTGATTTGCTTTCCAGTTACCGGTGGGATTCCACAAGGATCTGTGCTTGGTCCACGACTTGCTAACAGTCATAAACGACCTACTGGGGCCTAAATCATTACTGTTTGCAGATGACGCCAAAATTTTGAATACAGTAACGCAACCAGTGGGCTCGCTCGCTCGAGCGCACTCCAGAAATGCTGAAAGCAGCTCACCTCTAGTTTCTTCTGAACGACATTGAAGTTAATATGCCAAAAGGGTAAGGTTCTGTTTCGACGAAACAAGGGGTGATTTTCGAATTTCCTCGGAAATGAACAACTACCCAGTGAGAAGGACGTGGGCATCATCATTCAATAAAACTTAAGCTGCTCACTCAACTGTGCCAAGGTGTCGAACGCAGCTGTAAAGAATGCCGGTTTGAGTCGGAGCTTTTCTTTTGTCTACTATCAGCATACATTCGCCCACCCACAGAGTACGCCATCCAGGCATGGAATCCATGGCTACAACGAGATTGCAAAATGCTGGAGCATCCACAAAGGAAGGCCACCAAAATGGTTATGGGGTTGAATCGTTATTCATATGCAAAGAGATTGAAGTTGCTGGGGTTATATTCGAATCACTACCAGTGCACCAGAGAAGATATGATATGTCAAATAATACAAAACCCAAGCGATTCATAGCGCCCGGTGCTAAAATAACCACCCAACGTTCAACTTGCAGGACATTCGTTGAAACTAGTGGTTTCAAAATGTGTCAGTCATTCGCAGTTAGTGTGTTCAATCTGGAACTCTCTCCCACTCCATGTCGTCTGTGCACCAAGCCTTGAATCTTTCAAACCGAGTCTCGATGAAACATTAGCACACCTTACATTCTAACATAAATGAAGTTGCGCGCAGCAGTGGAGGAATCCCGTAAAATATGACATTTTACACAAGAAACTGGATGTACCACTGTATTTTAATCATAACACGAACCTATGGAACGAGAAAAGCATGAGCTTTTAAGTTATTCCCATAATAAGTCTGAATTTCGTGTTTCTGAGTCATAATCTGAACTTATCGCCGCTATCCGAGGGGTTCCGGAAGGATCGGTGCTAGGGCCTAGATTTTTTCTTCCGTTATTTAACGACCCACCACATATCCTTGGGCCAAATGTACTACTATTTACAGACGACGCTAAAACCTGGAATCATCATCATCATCATCGTACAGCGAGATACAGTGAAGCGAGCTTCACTGATCGCTGCCAAGCTCACAATGTACAGAAA